AATATGAGAAGCGAAGTTTCCCTTGAAACCATTTAGACATGAGATTTTATAGATTGATTATTTTATAAAGAAACCGGTTATTTAAGTAGTTTCAAGTTGCGATGTAGAATATAACAAAATAACATTCCTGCTAGTTATCAGTGAAATAGAAATAGAAATAGAAATAATCTTTATTCAAATAAACTCATTACAAGCACTTTTGAATAGTCATATAGATTGATTATTTTATAAAGAAACCGGTTATTTAAGTAGTTCATTCGATGTAGAATATAACAAAATCATCACAACTCTAGAAGAATGAGATTTTTCTAAGATTGATTATTTTATAAAGTGTTATTTAAGTTTTCAATAGTGATGTTATATATATAAATAATTACATTCCTGTGTAACAAGTAAGTAGAATTTCTAGACAATCAACATGAGATTTTTCTAAGATTGATTACGCACTCATTATTAGTGTAATCATATAATATTTTCATGATGCTATGTATTTAACGGTTTTCTACAAAAACATTATTATCGTTAACGAATTCTTCAATTTTATAGTAACATGATTTTTTGCAAAGGAACCGACATTTGACATTTAAATCTTTTTTCTGGCAGATTGTATAACAGACTCTGGTATTTTTTTGATAAATTCGGTAAACTTGTCACGATACGCTAATTGACCTGACTCATAGCTCATCGACATTTACTGGTGCCCCGCCATATCGTACTAACAATTCCATTATCATCCATAAAAATAAAAAAGTCGATTGTCCATTGCAATAATGAAGTTATCAGTGAAATAACTTCCCTTATACAGTCGATGCTCGTTATAACTTTTGGAATAACTTGTTCGGTGTGCTAGAGTCAGTATGCTCCCTCTAATACGATTGTATACAATGATGGCTGACTCATACGTCATCCTCGAGAACAGGTGCTTATGACAGAAATTAGCATATACTATTGTTGACTATTTTGCCTAATTGAATTTAAAAATGAATCTGTATTTTTATAATCATGTACAAACTCATAAGATAAGAATAAGAGTTTCTTGACAGTTCGTAAACCGAAAGTAATCTGGACTTACGGTAGATATGACTTGTAAGACTTATATAAGAGTCTATTTTGATTTGATTTGATAAATAAATAATTTGTTTTTGTTATTCAAATTCAATAATCATTTATTCATGTAGGACATTTTAGCCGCTTATGAACGTCAAATTTTATACATTATAAAAAATATTAAATTATTACCCAATAACAATGAAATAGCACACCATGAATATCCCCGGGTAACAATCTCAGGACAATTTACACAGCGCCATCTAGTCCCAAGTTAAGCTAGCTAAAGCTTGTATTATGGAAACTAGATTACTGATACAAATACATAGATATATATTTTTTTTGTAAATACATACATATTGTACATAGAAAACACCCAGACCGATATAAACAATCATACTTATGAATACAAATATTTATGCCGTGCAAGGAATCGAACCCGCGACCATCGGACGTAAAGCGGCGTGCTAAACCACTAAACCACCGAGGTCGTCAACAATGAATTACATAACAATAACAATTATATTCAAGCTTATGTTCACGCTATGCTATAATAGAATGGTGATAAACATTACATTCGAATTTGTAAGGTAAACAATTACGTCATCATACGTCATAGTTATTGGCAAATAAAGAGGCACAGGGGTCAATGTCTTCTACTTCGTTTATGGTATAGTCAATATATCGTCTGTGGTATTTCCCGCCGAAAAACAAATTGTATGGTCTGTACTTATGTAAATTTTGGTGTAGAAAAATAACAAAAATATTCATAGGCATGATATGTAATAATAATAATATCACATAACAACTCTTGAATAAAATTCAACAATATCTTTATTCATGTAGGTCTATTACAGACTCTTACGATATGTCAAATTCGGAATGATTTTGAGATGAGAAGAACTAACAACAGAAAACTCAGCTCGTATTCATTTCAAATAAATGTTGTACATGTTTTAAATATACAGAATCATTTAAATTCAAAATTGGGAGCATAGAGTGACCTACCAGCATATACTATTGCAAAAGCAAAAGGTCTAATCAGTGTAACCTAAACAGACCAGGCCCCACAAGTAGCACCAGTTCACGGATGAGCCAGCCATCATTGCACGCAAGAGTTATTTAGATTACTTGGTACATAATTTATTTAACATTCGGAATTTAAATTTCGAATTTTACAATTTCAAATTTGGAACGTCAAGCACAGAACATCGATGTTATTTTATATACAATTTTGGACTCCTTCTCGAACATTCCGTGGCGTATTTATTAAAATCTGTGTACAATAAACATTTTATTTATTACAATTAAAACAAATTAAACATTGCAATATTCCTCCAACAAACATTCTATAAATTAATAATAATGTTCTATAGAGGGCGTCGGTGGTCTAGCGGTTTAGCACACCGCCTTACCTCCGACGGTCGTGGATTCAATCCTGGCACGTTTTAGTATGATTGGTCTGAGTGTTTTCTCGGTATATTATATATATTTTCTAAATAATCTAGTACCCATAACGTAAGCACTGCTTAGCTTGTGAATTGGTTGAGTGAATTGCCCTGTTATAAATTTATTATTTACTCGCTCCGGCTTCGTATGGGTGCATCTCAGTTCTCAGCTATTTTGTATTGCAAAGTGATTGTATTTTGTTATGGATGATAATGGAATGGTGCACCCGCCTGCGCTAACGGTTTACGCTGGCGGGGCACCAGTGGAGGATGATAGGTTGAATATGAAGTCAGGTCAGTTAGCCCATCGTGACATATTCACCACCACGTGAATTTATCATGGTTTCCAGGGAAAACCGCGTGGAGGCCAACCTGACCTGGTACATTGCTTGCAATGCCGGGTCATTGGGCTCCCTAAAATATGGTCGAGCGCAGTGGTGGCTGGCTCATCCGTCATACTCGTGAACGGGTGCTGCTTGTGTGGATCGGTCTGCTCTAATCACTATGACTTATTTTCTCTTATTAATTGTTTAGCCAGTTATTGTATATTGAATGTTTTTTCTATTTTATTATTTCATTGAATTAGTGCTAATCGGTGGTTTATATTCACACACTTAAACTTAAATTGTAAGTAAGAATAAATTATTTAAAAGAGCAACACACAAGTTTCTTGCTTGTTCTTGTGATGAGACAGCATTCCGAATGAGCGGTAGATTAAAAAAAAAATGTTATGATTATTCAAAAGTGCTTCAATGTAAGTTTATTTGAATAAATGATTTTCTATTCTATTCTATTCCAATGGGGTCAACAGTCCATATTACTAACAATCCCTTTCCTTCAAGTGATTGTATTAGGCATATAAAATCTTCCTCTTGAATAGTTTGATTCAAAAGGAAGATAAGTCTCGACTTCGCACGGATGCAGTACATCTTAAATTTTTCAGCTTGCTCTATACCATCGCATGTATGTATTATATATTTAAACTTTATTTTTGTATCACTATATTGTGTATTATTAACAACTGCATTAAAATTCGTTGCGTAGTTTAAAACATCTAAGTGACTTCATTTCATACTATGTAAAGATATACTACTAAAAATAAGTAATATGTAAATTTTTAACACAAAAAAAAACAACTTACGTAACATGAAAATTCTGCAATTTCAATTATTCATTGTGTGTGACACACAGACAATCCGATCAATGGTGAGAAACCATTGGGAACAATCAGATTTTGTAACCCACTTTCTAATTTCGATAACGAAATTTGCATTTTAAAATAAATGCATGTATGCATTGTTCATTGAAATAGTAGATTTATTTTACGCTACTCTAATTTCGATAACGAAATTTGCATTTTAAAATAAATGCATGTATGCATTGTTCATTGAAACAGTTGATTTATTTTCAGCCACAGCTGTGGTTGGTAGTTAATATTTACATTTGTGTCTTAATAATTATTAAGATCAGTCAAAATACATTTATTGATATAGAATACTAGCATGACTGCTTTTTTTTTAATGATAATCGTATGATGCACCCGCCTGCGCTACCGGTTTACGCTGGTGGGGCGCCAGCAGGAAGTAAGTCAGTTAAAAAATCGTGGAAAAATTATGTATGCATTGTTCATTGAAACAGTAGATTTATTTTACGCTACAGCTCTGGTTGGTAGCTAATATTTACATTTGAGTCTTAAATATCAGTAAAACAATCAGTCAAAACAATAATAAATAAGTAACCCTGGACAATTAACACAGCGCCATCTAGTCCAACAATAAACAGAGTTACAACTGATATAAATAATTATAATACATAGAAAACACCCAGACTGACACAAACAACCATACTTATGAATACAAATGTTTGCACTGCGCGAGGAATCGAACCCGCAACCATCAGAAGTGAAGCGGTGTGCTAAACAACTAGACCACCGAAGCTGTCATAAGCAAATTACATTTACTAATATAGGACTACTGCTAGGCCTGCCAGGACTACTACTAGCTCCACTGATCCCTATCAACCATCTTAACCTTGCAAACGATCACGGCAAACAAATCGAGGGGTTCTTATGAGACTACTACATGGGGTTTTTAATGTACCCTATTAAGGTTTCTTAAAGGTTGTGACCGCGCACGTGACATCCCTGGTGTCTCAGGCGTCCATAAGCTACGGTAACCATTTACCATCAAATGGACCGTATGGTTGCATGCCACCAAATAAAGAACACAAATCAAAATATCTTTATTCATGTAGGTTTAATACAGACTCTTATGATATGTTATTAACTACAGTCAGTTCGCAGAGCATTCGAGAGGTGATTTTTTTTTGGTTCGGTTTTTCCCGTTCGGAAGAACTCTGCCTATACAGCCATTGTATATATTTATCTTCGATTGTGTTTTCGTAATACATTTCCTACTCAGCTATTGATGTGCATGTACATGTTTACAGAAATACATTGTTACCAGTGATTTAAATTTTGGAACTAAGACCATTGACCGTTTTCAGGCGGCGTCCAACAATGCCGGTCGCTGAGACGCTCGTGTCCGCGCACAATGTCTACGTGCGCGGTCCTCTGCAAGAGCCCCACGGAGCAGCCCCCCGGGCCTCCGCACCCGCCGCCGCCGAAGGATGCCGTGAATTCAGGTCAGTACTTCGTGTCTTCATGGCCTAGTAATAATAACCCTGGACAATTCACAGCGCCGGCTAATCAAGTTAAGCAGAGCTTGTGTTATGGGTACTAGACAACTGATACTAACACCCGTTGTATTAATATCAACCCTAGACAATAGACACAGCGCCGTCTAGTCAAGTTAAGCAGAGCTTGTGTTATGGGTACTAGACAACTGATACTAATACCCATTGTATTAGTATCAACCCTGGACAATAGATACAGCGCCATCTAGTCCTAAGTTAAGCAGAGTGTGCGATGTATTATATATATATAAATATTTCTCTTAAACACTCTATATGTTGTTTAAAACTGCATTAAAATCCGTTGCGTAGTTTAAAAGATCTAAGCGAACAGACAGTGGAAGCGACTTCATTTTATATATATATATATATAACTAAAATTATAGTGTCTGTTTGTAATATCGAAGTAATCGTTTTTTACTACATGCATATGAATATAAATATGGTCCCATACACCAGAATAACATTTTTTAAAATTTTTGACTGTATGTCTGTTTATTCCGGCTAATCTCTGAAATGGCTGGGCCGATTTTGACGGGACTTTTATTGGCAAGTAGGTGATGTAATAAGGAGTAACTTAAACTACTTTTATTTTAGAAAAATAAAGTTAAATTCCACGCGGGCGAAGTCGCGGGTACAGCTAGTTATGAATAATATACCTTCCTCTTGAATCACTCTATTTATTAATAAAAACCGCTTCAAAATCCGTTGCGTAGTTTTAAAGATTTAAGCATACATAGGGACGGACAGACAGCGACTTTGTTGTATACTATGTAATGAAGTTGACTTTGACTTTGAGACTTAACTAGACGTGTAATGCAGATATTGCGAAACTTCGGTAATGAATATTCTTAAAGGTTAATAATGTTGATTCAATAATTTGCCACGTAATTTAGCAAAGTAACATTAGTACAGTAGATTTATTATGGCCTCGGTAGTGTAACGGTTTTGTACACCTATGCCTTGCTTCAGATTGTCGCGGGTTTGTTTTCTAGCACGGTACAAAGCAGTTTAGCTATTAAAGCTGTATACTCTACTTCCGACAGTCGGGGGTTGGATTCCTCGCAAGGTGCAAACAATTTGTATTCATTAGTTTTTTTAACATTTCGAATATCTGATCGCGATCGATCCCCCGTCTAATTCAAACGGGGATCGATATTACGACGGCCTGAGCCGAGGTTCGAACCCCTAGTGGTGCCCTCAGACTAATGTCGTATCCGTCAGGCAGGAGTTGGCCTACAGCCGCTCCATAAGTCCTTCCGCGGGTTTGGAGTGCCATCTGCACTCGACCCCTAGCCTCCGGTGAAGCTGTAAAGGCCAGCTGCGGCCAACAGCATTAGAGTAGTCCGAAAAAAAAGCGACAGTGAAGAGGCGGTATGTGCGCGCCAGCTGTATTTTTTCAAATGCGTTTCGATCTTATTTCGTTTTCAATAAAGACTAAATTAACTAAAAATAAGTCACAATTTTGCGGGCAGAGATCTGTGACAAGACGGTAATACGGTTTAAGAGGGGTGCACAGATCTGTGTCAAAACGTTCGAAGGGTTAATGGACGATAATAGAATGGTGCACCCGCCTGCGCTAACGGTTTTCGCTGGCGGAGCACCAGTGGAGGATGATAAGATGAACATGAGATCAGTCAGTTAGCCCATCGTGACAAATTCATCAAGAATTTGTCACAATGGTTTTCAGCCGGAACCGCGTGGAGGTCAACCTGACATGGTACATTGCTAGTAATAAGATCATCAGTCCACATTACTAACAATTCGTTTTCCTCCTCGTATTCATGAGTATGATTTATAGGTCTCGGTGTTTTCTATGTATAGTTATATCTATCAGTTGTCTAGTACCCATAACAAAATCTCTGCTTAGCTTAGGACTAGATGGAGCTGTTTGAATTGTCCTTGCTTATTATTATGAAATTACAGGATACAAAAGTCTTGTACAACACGGTACAAACTTTTTGAATTGTTAATTGTTGCGGGTGAATAATACGATGTTGCTGGTCGAGACGATGTATATTACTGATGATGATAAACTGACAATGTGTACATAGAAATAATGATCTTATATACTAAATAAAAGTAGGAAAATGTAAGGTGGGGTGACACAGTTTAGATACAGCAGTGCCTAAGACAATATTGAATTTGTCTTACTAGACATTATTAAATGCAATTATTATTTTGATGTATCTAGGTGACTGTGTCCCATAGATATTCCCCCGAGAAAAAAATATATATATATTACACACAAAAAAAAATATAAAAGTTAACTGTAAAATTTAAGATATTATGCACTTTAGTAACAATAAAAATTCATTATACCCAAATAACGACGTAAATCTTCGACTGTCGTGGGTTTAGGGTACTCGTCGATTGCTTGCCATTTTTCTTGCGTTGGTTTCATCCCTTGGCTCGTTATATGATAACCAAGAAAATCTAACTCATTTGTGAAGAACTCGCATTTGCTCATATTAATTGTTTGCGGCGAATAATTTGATTTCGCTAGCGCTCTCTTTGGTCTGTGCTTGTTTTTTATTCACCGAGATTTTTGCTTTCGGTGTCCAAAAATTCTATAGCCACTGTTAGAGTCGGTTATAGCTAGGCGGTTAGACGGATGAACCGCACAGCGTTCCGTCTTATTCTGCGTCGAATCTAGTTTTCCGACGGTTGTCTATAGGAGCGCGGCATGTCACGTTTGTATGCCTTTTCTTTATATTTGCGATGATATAATATAAATAATAGTCATTTTTCTGACTACGCAATGACCGTAGGTGCGAATTTGACCTAGATCGGTAGTTGCTGCGTCTGTTTGTGTGTGGCGAGCGCTTTTCGCGTATATCAGCAATTTCTGATCGCAGTGTCGCAATTAGTGACGACAGGTGTGCAATGACGTCGGCGGTGACTGTTGGCTGTACTTTTGTAGACAGCATTTTTGCTTTATTTTTCCAGTTTCAATTTTTCGTCCAGAGATTATATCCAGCAGGCAGTTGTGTTTACTGGGGGTCAGTAGCACGGCAGGATCCTTGTTGCGCAGTATTGCCAACGACTTTTATGCCTTTGAATTTCCGAGCCGGTGAGACCCGCTTCTGGGAAGCCGGTGGAAATGTGCAATCGTTGGTGGTGCGCAGGATGCCGTCAGACAGAGATCTCTTGTTTGATCTCGTCGTTTTCCCAGGTATCGTCTCGACCACGTCGGCCAGATCACGTCGGGGTCACCACTGTTGCGGGTGAATAATAAGATGTTGCTGGTCGAGACGATGTATATTACATATGATGATAAACTGACAATGTGTACATAGAAATAATGATCTTATATACTAAATAAAAGTAGGAAAATGTAAGGTGGGGTGACACAGTTTAGATACAGCAGTGCCTAGTAGACAATATTGAATTTGTCTTACTAGACATTATTAAATGCAATTATTATTTTGATGTATCTAGGTGACTGTGTCCCATATTAATCATGAAGATTATGATTGTCTGTATTGGTCTGTGTGTTTTCTATGTATTTTATGTACATATTTCTAAAAAATATCTAAGTATTTTTATCACTCATCTAAGCAGAGTTTATGCTATGGGTATAGACAACTGATATAAATACAAACATACAGTATTTGTAAATACATACATAGAATTACCTAGACCGATACAAACAATCATACATACATACATGTTTGTACTGTTGGAGGAATCGAACCCGCGACCATCGGGAGTAGAGCGGTGAGATAAAATCACCGAGGTCGAGAACTAGCAACTATAGCATTATTCTTTCTCTATCAAAATCTATTTTCGTCGTTATAAAGTGACCTTCGCTAGTATCAAATGTGCGTTCAGTGAATAAATATTAAATAAAGGTGTTTGTTGCTTCATCGATGTTACAATAAAACACTCGCTAAATACATAAATAAATATTTACAATACATATGTAGCAGTCTTGTGAAAGAAAGAATTGCGCACTTAGTTGGTATTTCTATTCACACATTTCAACTTAATAATGTAAAGTTACAACAATTATTTAAAGAAGCAACACGCAAGTTACTTGATTCTTCTTGTTATGAGACTTTCCGAATTTTTATGTACATCTAGACACAAGTTAAGCTAGCTAAAGCTTGTGTTATGGGTACTAGACAAGTGATAAAAATACATAATTTTTTTTTCGTTAATACATACATATTATACATAGAAAACATCCAGGACATGAATACAAATGTTTGTACCGAGCAAGGGTTCGAACCCGCGACCATCGGAAGTAAAACGGTGTGCTAAACGAAGACCGTCAAATGAATGAACGGCAGATTAAAAAAATAATTAATGAGGATTGAAAACTGTTTAAATGTAAGTTTATTTGAACAAAGAATATTCTATTCTGTTCTTGGTGACAGGCACAACATCAGGGGGCAAGAAGTCAGGGTCGGGGAACGGCGTGCTCACATGCCCCAAGTGCGGGGACCCGTGCACACATGTGGAGACCTTCGTCAGCTCCACACGGTTCGTCAAGTGCGACAAGTGCCACCACTTCTTCGTGGTGCTCAGCGAGGTGGACACAAAGAAGAGCATTAAAGACAATGCCGAGAACAAGTCAGGATTCTACAGGTATGTCACAATAATATATGCTTTTTAATTTGGTAGATTAAAAAAAAGTTTTTTTTTTTCGGCTCTGAATACAAGTCCTCGGTTGAGTTTCTTGTCAGTTCTTCCCAATTGAATCTGTATACTGAAGTGTAGGGAAAAAATATTAATACAAAAAAATTTGATTAATATTAAAATTTCAGTGTCCTATTTCAGAGGTAAACTTTCATTGTACAAAATCTTAACTGGATGGTATAAAAAAAATTTTGGTACAAAAAACTTGACGTTCATAGGCGTCGAAAATGTTCTACATGAACAAATTATTTTTGATTTGATTTGATTAATATTAAAATTACAGTGTCCTATTTTAAAAATTAACTTCGCTTGTACTAAATCTGAACTGGACGGTATAGAAAAAATATTGATTCAAAAAACTTGGCGTTCATAAGTGGCTGAAATGTCCTACATGAACAAATGATTTGATTTGATTAATATTAAAATTTCAGTGTCCTATTTATTGTCTGTGTGATTTTCTCCTGTCTCACTTATTTCAGCCAACCCCAAAGCAGATTATTTTTAAGCTAAACATAGCTTTTATTACATTAACTAGCAATTAAATGATGAGATATAGCAGTGAAATATTGCAATTTTTAAATGGGATCAAAATTTTTAATAAAAGAAACGTGTGGTCTATAATATTTCAAACTGTCTGCAACTATTGTACATCCCACGCTTAAACGAAAGTGAATGCGCTAAAGCATCCAATAGAAAGGCGTTTATGTTATTATGTAGTGCTTTGTATTTTTTTCTACACAATTAGCATACACTTATGAAATAAAAACACTAATTAGTCAAAAGATCACTTACAAAACTCTCCACTCATTATATAACTATACAATTGTTTCCTAATAAACATCTGCTTATTATACACATTTTAAATCTTAAAAGGAAACATAATTATTCATTGTTGAATGTAGCTATGTTTGACGGCTCTGAACAGTGTTTGAATATTTTTTTATGGATGATGATGGAATGGTACAAACGTATGCGGTAATGGTTTACGCTGGCGGGGCACGAGTGGAGGATGATAAGATGAACATGAGGTCAGAACAGTTAGCCTATCGTGGTAAACTGACCTGAGATTTATCACGATGGTTTCCAGGGTAAACTCCGTGGAAGTCAACCTGACATGGTGTATTGCTAACAATGGAGTCATTAGTCCACATTACTAAAAATCCTTGTCAGCCCCTACATGAACATTCCAAAGAATAATATCCAAAATTATATTTTTTAATTGGTTAGACTGGTAAGATAAGACAGTGAAATTAGAGGGTACTTAGTCCTCTAGAATAGCAAATCATGAGAGGACGGGCGGCACATGAAGAAGTCCCCTCCGATCGATCTCCCGTCCAATTCAAACTGGGATCGAAATTACGACGGCCTGAGCCGAGGTTCGAACGCCTAACGGTGCCATCAGAATAAAGTCGTATCCGTCAGGCGAGAGTTGGCCTTCAGCCGCTCCATAAGTCCTACCGCGGGTTTGGAGTGTCATCTGCACTCGCCTCCTATCGTCCGGTGAAGCTGTGATAGTCAGCTGCAGCCAACAAAAAGTAAATTAAAGTACTCCGAAAAGAAAACATGACGAAGTGCTTCTTGCTGTGGCAAGACATGTTAGTGCCTTATGACGAGTAATAATGTACATGTAATAATACATAAAACTTTTGAATAGTCATAGATTCTACCACGTTTGTTTTATCTGCTATAGCAACAAGCAATAACTAAAGATTATTGTGCTAAATTTAATTGGCAGATAATACATGTAAGACACATATTTGGTCACACACAGCGAGTTAATTGAGATATTATTATTAAAGTCTAAGAAGCAGTAACTGAATTGATACGATGTTTTTTTACGATTATTGGTTTTGTTTTGTGTTATGGTTCTAAGAACAGTAACAATAATAATAACGCTGAACAATCACAGCGCCATCTAGTCTCAAGCTAAGTAGAGCTTGTGTTATGGTTACTAGATAACTGATGCACATACTTTAATACTTTTTTTTAAACAATCACCTACAATATCCTAAAACCAATTGTATAGGATGTTGGCCTCACTTTTCCGCATTTAGCTACTCTTTTGGGCTGTTTTTTTTTTGTGGATGATAATGGAATGGTGCACCCGCCTGCGCTAACGGTTTACGCTGACAGGGCACCAGTGGAGGATGATAAGATGAGCATGAGGTCAGGTCAGTTAGCCCATCGTGACTAATTCACCAGGAATTTATCACGATGGTTTCCAGGGGGAACCACGTGGAGGTCGACCTGACATGATACATTGCTAGCAATGGGGTTATCAATCCACATTACTAACAATCCCCTTCCCTCCTCATTTGGGCTGTTTTTTTTTTAAAGGATGATAATGGAATGGTGCACCCGCCTGCGCTAACGGTTTACGCTGGCGGGGCACCAGTGGAGGATGATAGGATGAGCATGAAGTCAGATCAGTTAGCCCAACGTGACAAATTCACCGGGAATGTATCACGATGGTTTCCGGGGGGAACCGCGTGGAGGCCGATCTGACATGGTTGTTGCTGGCAATGGGATTGTTAGTCCACATTACTAACAATTCCCTTCCCCCCTCATTTGGGCTATTAGAGCAGTGTGTAGAGCTGAGACTACTAAAGTAGTCAGTCAAGTTCCTTCAAGAAGCGCAGAAGCCTCCTGGTCTCTTCAGCATAATACGATATTGGAATCTTTAAGATCATAGACCTTCATTAAAAATTAGCAATGGAAACCCTATGGCATTGTTGCAAGTAGTAATGGCTGGCGGTATCACTTACCGTCAGGTATGCTACAAACTCATTTGCCACCTGCTCTATAAACATATATATAATCGGAAGGAGGGTTTATTTTTTTTTTATTTATTTATAAAAAGTTAATGCACAAATACAAAAAAAAAAAGATGCCCATGGCGGACTGAACACCATAAGACATTTTCTCCCAGTCGACCATACGGCAAACAGAGATTGGTGGACGGTTCATTTAAGTAAATAATAACATGAAATCAATAATAAAAGGAAGTAGGTACAATTATAATAAAATTCATATATTGAAATATATATATCCAACTGCATACATACTTAAATAGTAATAAATATATATATATATATATATACATATAAGCACATAATAATATACATATAATTGGTTTATGCCAAGCATATATATCATTGTAGTCTATTTATGTACACAATATTACTTGCGAGCTGAGATATAACAATGCAATGTAATATGTCGTTGCCAAATCGTAGAATTGGTCGGATCGGGAAGTAGTAGAACATTTTAAATCAAATCAAATCAAAAATTATTTATTTAAATAGGTCATTTTAGCCGCTTATGAACGTGTATTTTTTTTGTATTAATATGTTATCCCTACCGTCCAGTTTTTTTTATTGTGGATGATAATGGAATGGTGCAACCGCCTGCGCTAACGGTTTACGCTGGCGGGGCACCAGTGGAGGATGATAAGATGAGCATGAGGTCAGGTCAGTTGGCCCATCGTGACAAATTCACCAAGAATTTATCACGATGGTTTCCAGGGGGAACCGCGTGGAGGTCAACCTGACATGGTACATTGCTAGCAATGGGGTTATTAGTCCACATTACTAACAATCCCATTTCCCCCCCCCCTACCGTCCAGTACAGTATACAAATTCAATTGAGAACTGACAAGAACTGAATTTCTTTTTTTTATAACCAATTTATTTACATTGTAATGTATAGATGTCTATGTCTAACGTTAAATGAAAATCTTGTACATGAACAACTATTGCCATGCACGCACGTCATTCAAGTAATTGTTGAAGGCTTATATATATAATACAAGTAAAGCCGGGCGAAGCCAAGGCGATATAGCTAGTATGAAATAAATGTCGATGTCGCTGTCTGTCCCTATGCATGCTTAAATCTTTAAAACTACGCAACAGATTTTGAAGCGGTTTTTTTAAACAGATAGGATGATTCAAGAGATAGGTTTGAATATAAAATACATGTACACCCGGGAGAACGTACTAGCTGTACCCGGGAGAGTACAGCTAGTATAAAGAAAAAGTCGCTGTTGCTGTCTGTCCCTATGTATGCTTAAATCTTAGAACTATGCAACGGATTTTGAAGCAGTTTTTTTAATAGATAGAGTGATTCAAGAGGAAGGTTTATATATATATGTATAATACAAGTACTACCAGGGCAAAGCCAGGGCGAGTAGCTAGTTGTATACATGCCAAGAAAGTAATCAATGTATTACATAGAACATTGGGATTACATGAAGTATGTTTGATACGAATACAAAATAAGATTGCAGTTTGGGATTACCAACATGCGTCATATACTTGCATTTGTTTCTCGACCTCGGTGGTCTAGCGGTTTAGCACGCTGCTTTACTTGCATTAGTCGATTCGATTCCTCGCACTCATGAATATAAATGTTTGCAAAACATTTGTATTCATGCGTGTGATTGTTTGTCAATCTGTGTGTTTTTATATGTATTTACAAAAAAAATTGAAATATTTATATCAGTTGTCCATAATACAAGCTCTGCCTTCTGTGTGACTAGATGGCGCTGTGTTAATTGTCCAGGATTATTCATTTGTTCCTTTGATACTAATACATAGAAATGAACATGTATATACATAGTTTTAGTGGATTTTATCGCGTGAAAATATCTTCAAATCTTCTTCGTGACCATTCCTCCGTCAGATGCGAGGGTTATTATTGTTAACTGTCTACTCGCCCCAGCTTCGCACGGGTATTATACCTATGTAATATACCTAAACCTTCCTCTAGAATAACACCGTCTATTAAAAAAAATCCGCTTCAAAATCCGTTGCGTAGTTTTAAAGATTTATGCATACATAGGGACAGACAGCGACAGCGACTTTATTGTATATGTAACTAGTCATTTACCCCGACTTCGCTCGGGTGTACATGCATTATACATATAAACCTTCTTCTTGAATCACTCTATCTATTAAAAAAATCGCTTCGAAATCCGTTGCGTAGTTATAAAGATTTCTGCATACATAGAGACGGACAGACAGCGACAGCGACTTTATTTTGTACTATGTAATGATGAATGAATTATATTTGTAGATTGTTATAATTTAGATTTAGATTATAATTTTGTATTTTTAATTCGAGACAATGTTCTGATATCATATTCCCAACTCGTACCTTTCATTATTTCTTTCCTTCATTTCGACTGTCGCCTGATTTGAATTATTCATTATTCATTTCGTAAAATAACGACGCTTTGTTACTTGTATATGCAGTGTCAAGTATTTTATATGATAACAATACTAGTCACGCTTGCGTGTCAACTGGTATGTCCAATTCGTCACGGTTTGGCTAATTAACAAGAAATATTTTGACGGTAAACTATGCATAATATTACGGACGTTGGCTCTTGTTACAATTGTAATAATCATTACTATCGATACAAACGGGGATCGAAATTACGACAGCCTAAGGTTCGAAACCCTAGCGGTGCCCTCAGACTAAAGTATCCGCCAGGCGGGAGTTGGGGTGCCTTCTGTCCCTCCGCGGGTTTGAAGTGAGATCTGCACTCGTCCTCTATCGTCAGGTGAAGCTGTGAAGGTCTGCTGCGCCCAACAGCATTAGAGTAGTCCGAAAAAAACCTATAGCATTATTCAGTACATAAGCAGGGGAAATGTCCTGTATGAATAGATGACTTTTGATTTGATTTAAACAATCATACTTGTGAATTTTATCTTATTAATTATAGAAACGCGAAAGTTTGTCATTATGGATGGACGTTTGTTACTCTTTCACGCAAAAACTACTCAACGGATTTTGATGAAATATTACAGTTCTATAGATTTTACATCAGAATAACATATAGACTATAGTTTAAAAAGATATTATGTAAATTGGGTGGAAATATAATGATAAATGTCAAGTGTAATGCAGACGAAGTTGCGTGGGTTAGCTAGTAAAATTATAATAATCTCAGGATAATTCACACAGCGCCATCTAGACTCAAGTTAAGCTAGCTAAAGCTTGTGTTGTGGGTACTAGATAACTGATACAAATACATAGATTCTTTTTCGTAAAAACCATAGAGTCCGCCAGTATTAGTATTTAGAAATAGTATTTATTTCAAATAAATTCTTAATATAAACACTTTATGAATAGTCATATTGTGCTATTTAGTATTTGGTGTTCGTTTGTTTGAGGCGATGTATTTCCCTGCGTGGGTGATGGTTGATGGTGACTCAATAATACGCCTCCTGGTTGATGTTTTTCTTATTTATTGAAGTTTACAATTGAATAGTGTTTAAATTTATAATATTTATATACGGAGCTGAAGCACGTTGATGGACGGACGGAGAGAGGGAGGGAGTGTTGCCAGCTAATAAATTTAATGTTGCTACAAATAAAATAAATATAGTGTTTCCAACACATATTCTATTGACTCTACAACTTTTGTTTTATCTGCCATAACTAAAGTTTAGTTGTTATGACCAACAAAGGCCTTTAGGAAACGTTCTCAAAAATATCATTAAACTGCTTTGTTACAGAAAGCCTCCCCCGCCGCCTAAGAAGATATTCGAGTATCTTAACAAACACGTGGTGGGACAGGAGTATGCCAAGAAGGTACTCTCAGTAGCTGTGTACAACCACTACAAAAGGATTTACAATAATGTCACCAACAGTCCTCCGAGCGAGGCGCATCCATTACATCATACACACAGAGGTAAGTAGAATAGAATAGAATAGTAAATCATTTATTCAAATAAACTTAATTTAAGCACCTTTGAATAGTCAAAATTTTTTTTAAATCTACCGCTTATTCGGAAAGCTGTCTCATCACAAGAAGAATAAGCAAGAAACTTGTGTGTTGCTCTTTTAAACAATCCTTGTAAGTTCACATTTTACAAGTCGAAACGTGTGAATACAAACTACCAACCAGCACTAATTTATTTAGGCTCAAATATAAAAACACAATAAGTTTAAATCAGTCGTAGTGATAAGAGCAGACGAGCAGCACTCGTTCCCGAGTATGACGGATGAGCCAGCCATCACTGCGCTCGACCATATTTTAGGGAGCCCAATGACCCGGCCCACCACGCCGCCACATGTCTGGACATTTTAGTGACCATGACTACTCATTCCACTCGACCACGTCACAGCTACAAAAATTACTATATGGTAGTTACAGTATTCACATTTTACATGAGGATGCATGCGGCAATCAATACAAAAGCCGCTACGCTATCATATATCAAGAAAGCAGTATGAAAAATAAATTATAACGTTGTCCGCAAATAAACTTATACTTGCTCTATATTGCTATCATCTATAAATTCATCTATCTTATAATAGGCGTTTTTACATAACATTTGTTTAATATAAAGTTTGAATTGCCTCTCTGTCAGATTTAGCGAAGATTCTGGCAGTTTATTATAGAATCTTACGCAATTACCATAAAATGAATTACTAACTTTGTGTAGACGGCATTTAGGTAAAATTAACTTATTTTTATTGCGTAAGTTTCTACTAAGTTTCTTGAAACTATCTAAGTTTTTCCTTGTATACATAATATTTTCATAAATGTACTGTGAGGCAACGGTGAGGATATTTGATTGTTTAAAGCATTGACGTAATGAGTCTCTAGAACCCATACCATAAATAGAACGTATGGCTCTCTTTTGTAAAATAAATATAGTATTTACATCGGCAGCTTTACCCCACAGCAGTATTCCATATGACATAATGCTATGGAAATAACTAAAATATACAAGTTTTGCCGTCGCCACGTCTGTTAATTGCCTTATCCTTCTAATTGCATAAGCAGCAGAACTAAGTCTACTGGCTAATTTTGAAATATGGGCCCCCCATTGTAACTTCGAGTCCACTGTTAATCCTAAAAAAAACTGTATCATTAACAAAATTTACTATTTCATCATTAAGCAATAGCTGCGTATTTACTTGTCTTACATTAGGAATCGTGAATTTAACACACTTAGTTTTGTTGGAGTTTAATATTAGATATTATTACATGTGAACCAATTTAATATAGCAGACATAGCATAATTTACATCGTCTAAATGATTACATTGGCGACCAATTTTAAACACTAACGAAGTATCATCCGCAAATAACACTATATCTGCAACTTTCTCTACCATGTAGGGAAGGTCATTTATATAAATTAAAAAGAGAAATGGCCCTAAGATTGAACTTTGAGGAACGCCCATTTTTATATTAGTTCCCTTAGACTTTACACCATCAATATCTACAGTTTGCACCCTATCCTCTAGATAACTTTTCATTAGACTTAGGTCATTATCTCTAATACCATAATGTTCGAGCTTATACAAAAGTGTTTTATGATCTACGCAATCAAACGCCTTCGATAAGTCACAAAAAACGCCGAGAGCATCCTGTGAGTTCTCCCATGATTTGAATATATGTGTAATAAGCGCTACACCTGCGTCAGTAGTAGACTTACCGGCGGTGAAACCATATTGGTGACTGTGTCCGTTATCCCTGAAGTATTTTAACATTTGGGATAAACATAATCTTTTCAAATACTTTACTTAGAACTGGCAAAATAGAAATTGGTCTATAGTTGCTTAGATCAAATCTATCTCCTGATTTAAATAGTGGAATTAATTTGCTAAATTTCATTAATTGAGGAAACACGCCATTATCAACACATTTATTGAAAATAGTAGCTAGATAACAACAATATCTATGAATGAACTAACTACTTTAACTGACATGCCCCAGAGATCTTCCGTATTTTTTAAATTTAACTGTTTGAATATTTTATAAGTGTTTAATAGTTTTATTTATTTACTAGCTCTGTCCGCGGTTTAACCCCCATGATAATTATTTTTAAACTTTCGTGTTTAATATACTGCATGGAATCCATAAATAATATTCATAAATAAATTCAAGCAAAGTTCAGTAACATCAACAGTCGATAAGTATACGGATACCGTTAGTGCTGTGTCGCGAACTTTCGTTGTACAATCTAGTGAGGGTAGATGAAAAAACTGCTGTTACCTATTTACATTGACAGCCGTTACTCCAGTCAGCTCGTGACCACGGCTAGTGCAACTTAGTCGAAACGTCGAGAGAGGTAAATACCTTTATTTGCCGTAAAATTATTCGTGTTAAGACTCGGTTAATAATTTAAGTAATGAAATTTGTAGCCTATAACATATAGGCTATAAGTTGATTGTTGCGGGTAAATAATAAGGTGTTGCTGGTCGAGACGATGTATATTACAGATGATGATAAACTGACAATATGTACATAGAAATAATGATCATATATACTAAATAACAATAGGAAAATGTAAGGTGGGGTGACACAGTTTAGATACAGCAGTGCCTAGTAGACAATATTGAATTTGTCTTATAATGCAATTATTATTTTGATGTATCTAGGTGACTGTGTGCCATATTGATAAATAAAGGTATTTACCTCTCTCTTAATTTTGATGTATATATATTACTGTAAAGTTTTAACAATATCAATTCAGTAGTTTTTGCGTGAAAGAGTAACAAACATCTATACTCACAAACTTTCGCGTTTTTAATATTACTAAGATTTACTAACTGCCCGCGACTACATCCGTGGAATAGACGACGAATGACGAATTTGCATACAAACTTTCATTCCCTATTTTATATTTTACAATAGTCTAAAAAATTTTAAACTTTAAAAATGACTATATTTCCATAAAACCTTTAACAGGTTGTATGGAAGTATAGTCCTTTCCATACACTGTTCTTCTGCACCCGGGGTGCATGCACCAGGGGGTGAAGGTTGGAGCCTCGCGGTCTTTTTACGTGGTACCGATTCCAGGGGCAACAACCCCGGGTTGAGTTGACAGTCTCTCGGGCGGGTTTCTAAAACTAAATTAAAATTACTCCTGAATACAAATGTTTGTGCCGTGCTAGGAATCGTACCTGTGACCATCGGAAATAAGGCCTAATATGCTAAACCGGTACACCATCGAGGCCATCTATTTAATATCCCAAATAAGACCAAAGTAAGTTTCTTTTCTTCTCGGAAGTGAAGCACAGCGTAGATTATAAATATTCTCGGAAACGCAGATTAAAAATATATACCATTTATTAAAACGAGAAAGTATAATAACTGCCACGTGTGACAAAAGAAGCTGATGTACGATGACAGTATTATTGATGGTACATGGTAACGAGACAGTGTGTACAGTCGGTACTGCATACAATATCTCATGACATACTGCAGTTTTTTATACTGTACATGGCAAACAAAACGACCACCTCCTAGGGGTTTTAATCCTTTACTGATAAATGACCTGTCCGCGGCGTTATCTACGTGGCCTAAAAACAAATAATTAATAAAAATGTTGATTAAAATAAATATATACTAATGGTCACTATAGGGCTGATTACAAGCTGTGGTCTTGTTACATGCGTCCTCGTGTATGTCTGGGCAGTGCCTGAATACCAGTGGTCTGCTGCTTGTATGCTGCAAACAATACACTGAGGTGCTGCCTTTTTACGTATGGGCTATGCACACACACTACGTTACTCATACCGTTTTTTGTTATCTGTATTGCATTTTATTTTATCTGTATATTTGTTGTGTATTGTATTTTGTTTGACTTCACTAATGTAATGTGTATATCTGTTTTTATTTTTGTTCTTATTATTACAGTGCCTTGTGTGTGTGTGTGTGCCTTTAACGTGAATAAAATTTTTATCTATCTATCTATATTCTCACTTTACGCTGTGTGAGAACGTCCTGAGATTTTATATTATTAGTATCAAATATTTAGTTTGTGAATGTACCTTTACCAATTGTTTCACTGTTTCGGGATTATCCGAAGCCGTAAAACTACTCAATAAAAAAAAAACAATACTGTATTACATTTCGAAAGGTTAACAGATCAGAGTAATTATTTTTCTTCTCAGAAGTCGAGCACAGCGTAGATTATAAATATTCTCGGAAGCACAGATTAAAAATATATACCATTTATTAAAACGAGAAAGTATAATAACTGCCACGTGTGACAAAAGAAGCTGATGTACGATGACAGTGTTATTGATGGTACATGGTAACGAGACAGTGTGTACAGTCGGTACTGCATACAATATCTCGTGACATAATGCAGTTTTTCATACATGGCAAACAAGTGGAAGACCTCCCGTTGATTTAATCCTTTATTGATAAATGACCTCTGTCCGCAGCTTCATCCACATGATTTAAAATCAAATCTATACATATAAATAAAATTGGAGTGTCTGTTTGTAATATTGAAATAACCGTTTTTTACTACATGCATATGAATATAAATACGGTACTTACACCAAAATAACATTTTTACAATTTTTGTCTGTATGTCTGTCTGTTTGTTCCGGCTAATCTCTAAAATGGCTGGACCGATTTTGACGGGACTTATTTTGGAAGGTAGCTGATGTAATAAGGCACTCCTCATCAGCTACCTTCCAAAATAAGTCCCGTCAAAATCGGTCCAGCCATTTTAGAGATTAGCCGGAACAAACAGACAGACTAAGTCACTACTTAGGCTACTTTTATTGTAGAAAAAGAAAGTTAAATTACACGCGGACGAAGTCGCAGGAATAATTCAAAAGTAATTCAATTGAGTTTCATGCCAGTTCTTCTCTATTGGATCTATATACTAAACTGGACGGTATGGAAAAAATTAAAATAAATAATTCGACGTTCATAAGCTGCTAAAATGTCCTACACGAATAAATGATTTTTTAATTTGAATTTAAACTACTGGTCGGTTAACTGTACCGTACGACGAGATACGTGTCAGGGCAATATTTTGAAAGGACCTTCACTATATATAGATAATTTTATGTCCTATTAACATGCGTATTGTCTCGGAGCTGTATCCTTTTCAAATTGACATTAAACGTTCCGATGACCTCTCTAGATAGCATTCAACTTTGCCGAATAAGCGACGGACAGATGACGGATAAGACTATTAACTCTCTAAAATCCTGCAGATCTCGCCAAACTGAAGAGAAAACGATACACATCCTATGTGGTTGTAACCCACTCATGCATAAACGAATCTCCTTTGGAAAGTATACACTCTATCCTGAGGAGATAAAAACCATCGCTCCTAATAATATACGTATATATTTGTTTATGGTCAAATTGATAATATATTAATATTTTTTATCTTTATTATTTGTCTTGTTGTCCCTTAAGGGGCGCCCCCCTTAAGGGACAACAAGAAGGGGGCGTAAGATAAAATAGGGGATGAAAGTTTGTATGGAATTTCGCCAGTTTTGAAGTTAGAACTATAAAATTTTCTTTGGTTTTTTATAATTAGCCTAAATAATTAGAAATTACTTTCAAGGTCACTTGTCCACGCGAACAATGTCGCGGGCTGAGCTAGTTCAATATATTTAAATTAATTATGGTCGGATTTTGACAATTAACCGATCATCATCATCATCGTCTGCTTCTTCTTTATCCCATTTATTTGTGGTCGTCGTAATGTTTTTTTTTTTCATTGATCCCTGTTCGCAGTCAACTCGTTATTTACTCCCTTTCTTACCATGGACCATTGGGCGACCACTATACAAATTCAAATTTCAAATTCAAAATATCTTTATTCATGTTGGTCTGTTACAGACTTATGATATGTCAAATCTACCGTTAGTTTGGAATGATTTTGAGATGAGAACTGATAAAGAAATTAACTCTTATTCGTTTCTAATGAACTTATACATGTTTACAATAATACAGATTCATTTTTAAATTCGTGTTTGGGAGGATATAGTGACCAGCATATGCTATTGCAAAAGCAAATAGTCCAATAGTCCAATTAATAGCAAATAGTACAATCCATTGTTAATGTATGTTTATCTTTCAGATCTCCTACACTTAAGCCACGGGAGCGGTGGCGGCGGTGGTGGTACAGAGGTGCTGGAGAGGCAGCATCACGACCTCAAGCTTGACAAGAGCAACGTACTGTTATTAGGACCCACCGGTTGCGGTAAGTTATAGTTAAATTGATAAAAAGTCATGTAATATTCAAAACAATTGTTATTATGACGGCCTCGGTGGTTTAGCGGTTGTGCACTCCTACTTCCGATGGTCGTGGGTTCGATTCTTCACTCGGTACAAACATTTATAGTTATGAGTTTGATTGTTTGTATCGGTCTGGGTATTTTCTATGTACATGTAATAGAATATGTATATATATAAGTGTTTCTAACAGTTGCCTAGTACCCATAACACAAGCTCTGCTTAGCTTGAGTCTAGATGGCGCTGTGTGATTATTCAGGATTATTATTATTATGAAATTACAGGAAATATAAATAGAAATAATCCTTATTCAAATAAACTCATTACAAGCACTTTTAAATAGTCATATTTTGATTCTACCACTCATTTGGAATGCAGATTCATCACAAGAAGAATGAGCAAGAAACTTGTGTTGCTCTTTTGAATAGATGTTTTTTTATATAATAATTACCTGATAAAATAAAAATCAAATTATAAATCATATATGCATGTGTCCTAGATTTAAAAAAATAATTTTAGACTCGTATGAATGTCAAGTTTTTCATGTTATCTTTTATTTTTATTATATTATCTTATTTATATTATATATCTATTTAATATAATCTTTTATTTTAGTGTTATCGGTACTAGACAACTGATATAAATACTTAGATATGTATTTTTTTAATACTTACATAAAAATATCCAGACTGATACAATCATGCTCTTAAATACAAATGTTATCGTGCGAGAAATCGAACCTGCGACCATCGATACTAAAGCGGTATATTAAACTGCTATACCACATAGGCTGTCAAAAAAAATGGTTTATTTAATAAGCTACCAAAATTATTTCCTTAATATATTTGTGCTCGATAAGTAACTCTGTTGCCCTGAGGCTTACCTTGAAAATATTTCTCTCACCAATAACATTTAAATTAAATTCAAATACATTCATACTTAAATGCCTAAGTTAAATATCCATATGATTGCTGTTCTGAATGATGTCATCAAATGTTAAACTAGCTACACCCGCGACTTCGTCCGCGTGGAATTTAACCTTATTTTTCTAAAATAAGATTAGCCTATGTTAGTCCTTATTACATCAGATACATGCCAAAAAAGTCTTATCAAAATCGGTATAGCCATTTTAGAGATTAACCGGAACAGACAGACAGAAGGACAAAAATTGTAAAAAAATCTTATTTTGGTGTAGGTACCGTATTTATATTCATAAGCATGTAGTAAAAAACGGTTATTTCAATATTACAAACAGACATTCCATTTTTATTTATATGTATAGATTAATAAAAATCCTTGTTGCTGTATGCCATGTCAGAGCGAACTCCACGCGGTCCCCACTGGAAACCATAGTGATCAATTTCTCGTAAATTTACCACGATGGACAACCTGACTTGACTTCATGATCATCCTATCATCCTTCTTCCTTCATCCTCCACTCCACTCCACTGGTGCCAGAGTATATCCTTATCGTAGGCGAGTGCACCATTATATTATCATAAATAAAAAAAACCTTGTTAATGTGTATTTACTTAAAATAACATTTATTTAAATCTATACTAATATTATAAAGCTGAAGGGTTTATTTGTTTGTTTGAACGCGCTAATCTCAGGAACTACTGGTTCTATTATTTTTGTTGTTGGATAGTCCATTTGTCGAGGAAGGCTTTAAGCTATATAACATCACGCTACGACCAATAGGAGCGGAGCTGCAATGAAAAATATTGCAAAAGGTGGGGAAGTTAAGCGCAGACGAAGTTACGTGGGTAGAATAAATTATGACTATTCAAAAGTGAATATATTAAGTTTATTTGAATAAGGATTATTTCTATTTCTTGTTCTACAAGGAATATTGACGACCTCGGTGATTTATCGGTTTAGCACATCGCCTGATGGTCGCGGATTTGATTCCTCGCAAACAAACATTTGTATTCAGGAGTATGATTGTTTGTATAGGTCTAGGTGTTTTCTATGTATATGTATGTATTTACAAAAAAAATACTAAGTATATATATCAGTTATCTAGTACCCATTACAAGATCTGCTTACCGTGGGACTAGAAGGCGATGTGTTAATTGTTCAGGGTTATTTTTTCTTCTTCATCCTCGCCTATTCCCTTTACGCGGAGTCGGATTTTCTAGTCTTGAGGCGCCATACATTTCGCTGGTATGCATCGTCAGTTGACCGGCCCAGCTCTATGTCCTTATGGACATTAGTCAACCAGGTAGTTGGTGGTCTGCCTCATCCACTTTTTGTTGTAGCCATGAAACTTTTTCACAACATGGTTAATTGTTAATTGTTCAGGGTTATTTTTTCTTCTTCATCCTCGCCTCTTCCCGTTACTCGGGGTCGGTTTTTCTAATCTTGAGGCGCCACACATTTCGCTGGTATGCATCGTCATTTGACAGGCCCAGCTCTATGTCCTTATGGACATTAGTCAACCAGGTAGTTGGTGGTCTGCCTCGTCCATTTTTTGTTGTAGCCATGAAACTTTTTCACAACGTGGTTTTCAGGTTTACGCAGAATATGTCCATATCACCTAAGTCTACATTCTTTAAGCATTTCGGTAGTAGATATAATAATAATAATATTTATTTATTGCCAGAACAAAAGATAGATATACAATTGAGTTCGTACACTGTTGGTTGATCAAAAACTATAAAAAAAGGAACCTCTTAAATTACGTATAAAATAGCAACAGTAGTACCTCATACTGCGTATTCTGGACAAAAGGGGCTGACTCAGCTGATGCTGTTAGCGTAACGGTTACAGCGCTGATTTTCAGTCTGTCCCACTCATTTAACGAAATATAAAGTTATGCAAGCTGCTTAATAGTCCAAGAATTGATAGTTTTTTAGTTTATTCACAAATAACACTTATTCACAATGCCGAATTGTTTTCTAATGTTAAAACATCACTTTATATTCTGATTGTAGGACAAAATCTATGTTATTACGAGAAGGGGATTGTTAGTAATGTGGATAGCCCCATTGCTAGCAATGTACCATGTCAGGTCGACCTCCACGCGGTTCCACCTGGAAACCATCGTGTTAAATTCCTGGTGAATTTGTCACGATGGGCTAACTGACCTGATCTCATGCTCATCTTATCATTCTCCACTGGTGCCCCGCCAGCGTAAACCGTTAGCGCAGGCGGGTGCACCATTCCATTATCATCCACAAAAAAAATTGTTCAGTGACAGAAACTACATGTTTACTGAAGCAGTACCCATAAAAAAAAGGTATCGCTCCGAATCTGCCAGATGCATGCTTGTTTCGTCCAGGGTTATTTATTTATTAAATTACTGATATTAGTACATTACAGTTTATAGATAATATTTTGTTTTGTTCTATATTATACTAATTCAGTATTGTACTACATTGTGGTGCCATCGGTCATCAAGTGGAGCGTCAGACTGTTTGCCATTGGTGTTTTATAAAAAGAAGATCGAATACATTTCCAGTTAAGGAATTTTCTCAATTTGTACCCACGTCGCTCTTGACGTACCGGTTATTTGTTGTCAAAATGCTGCGTCGGTGTCGTGGATTCGATGCCAAATTAGGTGAAGGTTACTACTTGTGTATTTACTGGCACAAGTCACGTAATGAATAATGTAATTTATGTAATGTATGCGCTTAACTAGTAACGCCTCGCGGTTTTACCGCACAAGGCTTTAATTGTGGGTACTTATTTTTTTGTATGTAGTGTACACACCTGTGTTGATAGTATGTGATTGTAATACACTAATTATGATAGTAGCATTTAGGAGCCAAAAAAAGCAAATGATTATTAACTTTAATTTAATATTGTAATAATACAAAACGCTCGCCTTCATACGGATGTATGACGAATCTTTGATATTCCCGACTTGTTTTATATTATGGCACGCATGTATTATATCCATCATACTCGTGAACGCGTGTAATTAGTACGGACTGGTTTGTTCTAATCACTACGACTGTAATATTAATTAAGTAATATTAAGTAAAAAATTATCATTTTTCAATTCAATTAAATTAACCACGCCGTCTTAATCATTATCTAAATACTTTTAAAATTATATATAATACTTCAGTAAATATTAAAGGAAACAATATTTAAAATAAATTTAAAAACTTTAAATGCTTATCTTGTAAAAAAAAATGTACATTTTGAATAGTGACATTTTTCTATTTAACCGACGATATATATATATATATATATAGCTATTTATATTCAACTAACATATATAGTATCAAATCGGAACGTATATTTTGCAAGTGGTGCCAAAATGGTGATTAAGTGATTCGTTTACTGTGTTTGGTGTACGTGGTTTTTTTATAAAATGCCTAATTCGCTGGTTGAAGCAATTAGCCAATATCTATACCTGCTCTGCATATAAAACAAATGGTCATCATTCATCAGTCAACACGCGGTAGATTCTTCCGTATGAGATAGGAATCCTATTTTTAGAGTTTTATTTATACTCGGACGGCCTCGGTGGTCTAGCGATTTAGCACACCGCGGTGGCGAGTTTGATTCCTCGTATGGTGCAAATTTTTATTCTTGAGTATGATTGTTGGTATCGGTCTGGGTGTTTTCTATGTATATTATGTACTAGCAGTTCCCGCGACTTCGTTCGCGTGGAATTTAACATATTTCTAAAATAAAAGTAGCCTAAGTACTATAATTCTTATTATATCAGCTACCTGCTAAAAAATAGTTCCATCAAAATCGGTCCAGCCATTTCAGAGATTAGCTGGAACGAACAGACAGACAGACTGACAAAAATTGTAAAAAATGTTATTTTGGTGTATGTACCGTATTTATATTCATGTGCATGTAGTAAAAACGGTTTCAATTTCAATATTACAAACAGACACTCCAATTTTATTTATATATATAGATATATAGATGTGTTTACAAACAAAAAAGTATCTATGTATTTAAATCAGTTGTCTAGTACCCATAACACAAGCTCTGCTTACTGTGCGACTAGATGGCGCTGTTAATTGTCCAGGGTTATTTATTATTATTATAATGTTTATTGCACCAAATACAGATAATAAATAAAGTAGTAAATATACAGTAACTGATACAAAAGGCGGTCGTCTTATCGCTAAGTTATCTCTTTCAGACTACCTATAGGTGCATAATACGTATATACGGAAAAATGTATGTAAACATAAAAATATATATCATTACATAGTACAGAACAAAGTCGCTGTCGCTGTCTGTACCTATGTATGCTTAATTCTTTAAAACTACGCAATGGATTTTGAAGCGGTTTGTTTTAATAGATAGAGTGATTCAAGAGGAAGGTTTGTATGTAAATACATGTACATCCGTGCAAAGCCGGGGCGAGTAGATAGTTATATAGTATAAAACAAAGTCGCTCTCGCTGTCTGTCCGTCCCTATGTATGCTTAATTCTTTAAAACTACGCAATGGATTTTGAAGCGGTTTTTTTAAATAGATAGAGTGATTCAAGAAGCAGGATTATATGTATAATACATGTACACCCGTGCGTAGTCGGGGTGGGTAGCTAGTATTAATATATAAATCAAAACAAAATGTCTTTATTCAGGTAGGCCTATTACAGACTCTTATGATATGTCAAATTTATAGTCAGTTCGAAATGATTTCGAACTTAGAACCGACAAACTCAGCTCTATCTTATTATTATTAATATTGTAAACGCGAAAGTTTGTGAGTATAGATGGATGTTTGTTACTCTTTCACGCAAAAACTACTGAACGGATTTTGATGAAACTTTACAGTAATATAGCTTATCAGAATAACGAATGTAGTCTACATTTGTATTGAAATTTTACGCTAGTAAAAACGCGCGCACAGCTATTCTTTTGATATGTTAACAACATATATTTGAATGTTTCAGTAAGCGATAATATAGCTAAAAGAAATGTGCTTGGTACTGTGGTCACGGTCAACGAGCATTTAAGTTTTTTTTTTTAAAAGAAAATTTCGCACAAAAACGACACTCGTTGCAAGATAATAAAAATAAACATTAACGAAAATCACTCGAAGTTACCACAAAGAGTTTGAAAAGTGAAAGGTTTCGGTCCCTCGTCGAAACACTCGAAGTAAAAGTCGACGTATTTTACTAGATAGCGCTTATGGTGTGGAGAATTTGAATCCGTTACGTCATTTGGGTAGTCAGGCGAGTAATCGAGGCGCCATTGTTGATGCTCGTTGGCGGTGTTTAAAGCAGTCGTCACACTGTACAAGCGATGCTATATCCTGCTTTATATTAACTGGGATTTTTCAGTGATAATGGAAAAGGCAGATATTGAACATAATAGAAAATAGACGAGGAAAAATGTTAGGACACTTGATACGGCACGATGATTTCATGAAAATTATTATTGAGGGGAAAATAGAAGGAAAGAGGGGGAGGGGAAGACCAAGGAATAGCTACATCAAACAAATTGAGGACAAAATGGGAGTTGTGTCGTATCAAGAATTAAAGAGCATGATGGAAGATCGCGGAAAGTGGTAAGAGCTCCACCGACAAGAGTGTAGCTCTTAAATTATGAATGAATGAATGAATGGAATGGTGCACCCGCCTGCGCTATCGGTACGCGGACGGGATACCAGTGGAGTATGATAAAATGAACTGAGGTCCTATGTTAACTGACGTGATTACATTTTATAACATTCCGGCTGGAAGCCATTGTAATAAATTTCTGGGTAATTTATCACAATAGTTTTGTAACTGCATGGAAATCGACCTAATATGGTACATTGCTAGCGATGGATGGATGTCACCAGTCCACATTACTAACAATTCCCTTTACCCCCAAAGATGCGATGATTCTTTTTTTAATATAAAAAAAAGAAGATAATGGAATTGTGCACCTGCCAGCGCTAACGTTTTACGCTGGTGGGCCACCAGTGGAGGACGATATGATGAGCATAAGGTCTTTTCAGTTAGCCATCGTGGCAAATTCACCTAGAATTTATCATGATGGTATTCAGGGGGAATCGTGTGAAGCCCAACGTGACATGGTACATAGCTAGCAATAGTGTTATTAATCTACATAACTAACAATTCCCTTCCCCCTTATCTGCGATGATGTACTATCGCCATAATGGCATAATAGATAATACATTTAGGGCTCTTTTCTATGTATATTATGTATGTGTTTACAAATATATACTTACTACCAGTTGTTTAGTATCTATAACACAAATTCTGCTTAGCTAACTGTGCAGGACGGTACTGCAAGAGTATTTATTATTATAGGGTTATTATTAATATATATGCGATACTATCTGAAGATGATATAGATCAGTTACAGCACAACTTCGTCAATTCAATTCAAATTCAAAATATCTTTATTCATATAGGTCTATTACAGACTCTTATGATACGTTAAATCTACCGTCAGGTTCGGAATGATTTCGAAATTTTACAGTTACTGACAGAGTACAAATTTAATAATAATATACTAATTTTAATACAAAGGTTGCCTGTAAGAGATTGCTTAGCGATAAGGCCGCCTTTTGTACTCGTCATTGTTATACATATTTTTATAGTAATTAATATTTTCTGTAACTGGTGCAAAAAAGTGTAAAAAAAAAAATTAAAAAAAAATAAATAATTTATTTACCAAAAATATTTTATTGTATAATATAATGTATAGCTTAGCGTAGCATATCTTTGATGCTGTGTTTCATACTGTAAACGTTATGTAATTCGAAATGAATGTGTTCATATGATATTATTTTTAATGTTGGTAATAGTTGTTAATGTGTATTTAATGGTGCGGTCTTACGGTACAACACCTAATAGGTTCCGTTTGTCTGACTGTTAATGATATTCTACAATATTATGAAGAGACTGAGAGAGAGCTGTGCCTGCGACTTCGTCCGCTTGAAATAAATGATGAATTTCCAACATACCTTCGTCCTCTTTTTATTTTACACCATTAAGGACAAAATTTTAACAAATATGATTGAATGTTATATTTGTCGAAAAAATAAGTCCCAAACTTTAAAAAAAAAAAAAAGAAGTCACTTCAACCAAAGTTATACAACCTTTCATCTCCCCTCCAACCCTTCGAGACTTCTATATAACCTTTCATCCCCCTTTACTTAAGACCTTACTTCATAGGATCATTTCTATAGTAAGTTCTCCAACCAGATCTCCCAATATGTGAGGTCACACCAACCCTTTTTCACATTAAAAAGTAGCGTATGTCCTTTGTCAAGGTCTAGACCAGTGTACCTCTGTAGAAGCTAATATTTAATGACGCTGTGAGAATTGTCCTGAGATATTATTATAAATCTACTAGCTGTTCCAGCAAACGTTATTTTGTCTTAATATAAAAAAAAAATTAGGGGTGGACTATCCCTAACATTTAGGGGGATGAAAAATAGATGTTGGCCGATTCTCAGACCTACTCAATACGCTCACAAAATTACATGAGAATCGGTCAAGCCGTTTCGGAGGAGTATGAGAACGAAAACTGTGACACGAGAATTTTATATATAAGATTAAGTAATAAAATGGTCTATGTGTCCTTCTTCATCCTCGCCTCTTCCCGTTACTCGGGGTCGGCTTTTCTAATCCTGGGGCGCCATACATTTCGCTGGTAAGCATCGTCATTTGACAGGCCCAACTCCTTCATGTCCCTATGGACATTTGTCAACCAGGTAGTTGGTGGCCTGCCTCGTCCTCTTTTTGTTGTAGCCATGGAAAGGCACTTTCTCACAATCTGGTTTTCAGGTTTACGCAGAATATGTCCATATGTCCGTCTATCATAGTATTAATCTAGTGGTATATATTCTTGTCCACAGGTAAAACACTTCTGGCACAGACGATAGCGCAATGTCTGGATGTACCGTTCGCAATATGCGACTGTACAACGCTCACGCAAGCTGGCTACGTGGGCGAGGATATAGAGAGTGTTATCGCCAAGTTGCTACAAGATGCTAACTTCAAGTATGTATGCTATAGGACACACTTACCTAAACACATCAATGCAAACTCAATATTGTCTACTAAGCACTGCCGTGTCTAAACTGTGTCACCCCACATTACATTTTCCTATTGTTACTTAGTTTATAAGATTAATATTGTTATTTACATTTTGTCAGTCTATTATCATCTGTAATATACATCGTCTCAACCGACAACATCGTATTATTACTCCGCTACAATGGTATACATTATTGACGTTTAGCTGAAATTTTTAAATGAATTCAATTCAGAATATCTTTATTCATGTATAAGTCTATTACAGACTCTTATGATATGACAAATATACCGTCAGTTCTGAATGATTTCGAGATGAGAACTGACAAAACTCAGCTAGTATTCTGTTCAAATAAATGTTGTACATGTTTATAATAATACAGATTCATTTTATAATTCAAATTTGGGAGAATAGTGTGACCAGAATATGCTATTGCAATATCATATCTAAAAATAGTAATCACTAATAATAATATTATTATTATTAACTCTAGTAATAATAATAATAAACTACTTTATGTCCCGTCCACGGTTAATCACCAGTGTGTGAAAAACACATTCTGTACAGAAGAAACAATAAGCGTAACATAGCGCGTTTTAATTTTGTTGCAGCGCCATCTATTGGCGTTACATGCAAACAACATTTTATTGATCACTATCTATTTAAACTCTAACAATATTCTATTCTAACGATTCCCTTCCCCTCTCGTTTTATATAATTCAGTATTAATGTGTATTTTATTGTTGTTTGGCAGTGTGGAGCGCGCACAGACAGGCATCGTGTTCCTAGACGAAGTGGACAAAATAGGCGCCGTGCCTGGCATACACCAACTGCGGGACGTCGGAGGTAAGTTAAATAGAATATAACTAAGTACATTTATTGTAATTACAGAGAGAGATGAACTGCTTAGTATTCCATATATCCATGAATACCGTGAGGATGCCGAGTCTATCAAATTCGAAATATCTTTAATCATGTAGGTCTGTTACAGACTCTTATGATATGTCAAATCTACCGTCAGTTCGGAATGATTTCGAGATAGAGATAGAGCGAACTCACCTCATATTCTTTTCAAATAAATGATTACAATAATATATATTCATTTTTAAATTCAAATTTAAAAAAAAAGATAATATATTATTATTATAATTAGATTATTTGATGTAAACCAGTTAAGAACATATTTAAATCCTGTGTATTTCTTTTCACATTGAAAATAAGTGATGTGTCATCAGCAAACAGTACTATGTCAAGTTTGTTTTTAAACTGGTATGGTAAGTCGTTTATTTACGCAAGAAAAAGAAATGGGCCAAGGATAGAACCCTGGGGTACACCCATTTTTATATCTACTCCTTTCTTACCATATCGTCTTTCAGACAGCCCATCCATCCATTTTTCGGTCTTCCTGTGCCCGTATAACTATTCATATTCATTTGTAACATCTTCTTTTTATTTCAGGCGAGGGGGTACAGCAAGGAATGTTGAAAATGCTGGAAGGTGCTGTAGTATCAGTTCCAGAACGTAACTCGCGGAAACTGCGCGGTGATGCTGTTCAAGTGGACACCACCAATATACTGTTCGTAGCTAGCGGCGCTTACAACGGACTGGACAGGTCGGCATTTGTATATATATACTACTTTAGCGCAATTGTTATCACGTCACTACTGTAGCGTTATACGTGATGTGGTGAGATGTCGCTTCTTAATTTATTATTTTATGTAGAAGCTAGGTAGTGTAAGTGTAGTAATAGAACTACATTAGTAAGTTTATTTGATAGTTTTTTTAGGACTACTCTAATGCTGTTGGCCGTAGCAGGCCTTTACAGTTTCACCGGACGATAGGGACTGAGTATAAATGGCACTCCAAACCCGAGGAAGGAAAATATGATTTAGTGTATTTTCAATTTAGGTTATGAAAGTAATTTACTTATTAATGCTACAAAATTAACTTGAAAGCTAAATTAAAATTGCAAAAAAATAAAATGGTGAGTGTTATCGAGAATTGATCGATGAAAAATTGTTAATGATATTTTGTGCCGATGGAGAATATAAAGTCTACTCATCTGCCTAAAATATCGTTACCAGTTTTTACTGGTGTATATTCTGAATGGTCGTTCTTCAAATATTATATTTATGTAGTTCATTGGTACACAATTGTTTTTTTTATTTTTATTGTACTACTATTTATGACAAAGATTTAGTAGGGGTACAAAAATAGAGTGTAGCTCTGAGAGCGTGTAGTATGGGTGTGAGAGCGTGTAGTGTGGGCGTGAGAGCACGTAGTGAGGTCGTATATGCTTGCAGGCTGGTGCAGCGGCGCAGCAACGAGAAGTACCTCGGGTTCGGAGCGTGGGACGCGCGCGCCGGACGCCGCGCCGCCACGCAGGCCGCCGCCAACGACCAGTCGCCGCTCACCTCCGCCGCCGACGACAACCTCGAGCGCGACGCCTGGCTGCGGCAGGTGCAGGCGCGCGACCTCATCGACTTCGGCATGATCCCGGTACGCGCCACCTCCACCACCTCCACCACCTCCACCACCTCCGCCACGCAGGCCGCCGCCAACGACCAGTCGCCGCTCACCTCCGCCGCCGACGACAACCTCGAGCGCGACGCCTGGCTGCGGCAGGTGCAGGCGCGCGACCTCATCGACTTCGGCATGATCCCGGTACGTGCCGCCACCTCCACCACCTCCACCACCTCCACCACCTCCGCCACCTCCACCACGCAGGCCGCCGCCAACGACCAGTCGCCGCTCACCTCCGCCGCCGACGACAACCTCGAGCGCGACGCCTGGCTGCGGCAGGTGCAGGCGCGCGACCTCATCGACTTCGGCATGATCCCGGTACGTGCCGCCACCTCCACCACCTCCACCACCTCCACCACCTCCGCCACCTCCACCACGCAGGCCGCCGCCAACGACCAGTCGCCGCTCACCTCCGCCGCCGACGACAACCTCGAGCGCGACGCCTGGCTGCGGCAGGTGCAGGCGCGCGACCTCATCGACTTCGGCATGATCCCGGTACGTGCCGCCACCTCCACCACCTCCACCACCTCCACCACCTCCGCCACCTCCACCACGCAGGCCGCCGCCAACGACCAGTCGCCGCTCACCTCCGCCGCCGACGACAACCTCGAGCGCGACGCCTGGCTGCGGCAGGTGCAGGCGCGCGACCTCATCGACTTCGGCATGATCCCGGTACGTGCCGCCACCTCCACCACCTCCACCACCTCCACCACCTCCGCCACCTCCACCACGCAGGCCGCCGCCAACGACCAGTCGCCGCTCAC